CATTTTGTATAATTTTGATGTTTTTTTAATTATATTATTGTAAAATTAGGTACTACTTTTTAGTCTTTGGTCTTATGCTAATTAGGTGAAAATGTATTCATATCTTCCAAATTAGTAAATTATATAGTGTCTTAAAATAAAAGCTCCCTATAAAGAAACCCAAGTTTAAGTAAATAAACCCTACATTATTTCCCTAAAAAAGTTTGGCAATTGAAAAAAGGTAAAAGCACGGAATTAAAAAAAAAATTATCACAGATAAAGCTTTTGGAAATTAATGAACATTCTAATTAATTAAAAGTTAGAAGTTATTTAAAAAACAAAAAACAAAAGAAGATAAAACAAAAAAAAGATGAAAACCCAAACCAGACGCCATCGCGAGAGAGCCCCTTCTAGTAGTTTTGGATTACTTTCCTTTTTGCAGCAAGATTAATTGTACTCTGTCTGTCCTGCCATTTCCCTATTTGTATTGGATTTGGATTGATCTCTTGAATAAATTCCAAGCTTTACTAATTCTTTCTGTATATATTTCATAGCCCCAGCCTCAACCAACCATAATATAACTCCCTTCTGCATCAGCGGCATCCCCAAACCCTAAATTTCCTTGTGCCTCAATTTAGCATTCCATAGCTAGCAAAGGCCCTATCAATCATCTGGTATCATGGGGGATCAGAAAATATCTCAACCTTCCGCCGCCGCTGAGCGCACCGATGTTCAGGGCCATGCCTTGACGAGCAAAGATGAGCTCCTGGGTAAGATATCGGAGATGGAGAAATCTCTAGCCGCACTTTCCGACCAGCAAATCCAACTGGTCCATTTGACGAAATCTATAGCAGAGCAGCTTCGCCTACTACGCGCCAGTGTCACTGGCGCCATGGTGAATACCTGCAGTCCCAACCCCAACCATGGGGCCCTTCATCCTTACCCAAGGTCAGTGCATGGCTTAGTGTATTGATTTCATCTTCTTAATTTTTGTTTCTCTGTAAAATTGTTGATGCATGCATCTTTAATTATTTAAAAGATTCTTGCTTGGAATAATTACCAGCTTGAGCGTCTACTAGATAAATTCTCTCTACTTGTTCTTGTCCTGCCACCTTGATGATGCTACTCTTGAAGAATATAAGTTCCACATCGGAAACTTAAATACTACATATAATGAACTGTTACACTACGCCCTTTGTGATAAAACCTCACACTTACGAAGCCCAGTAAGTGTGAGGTTTTTATTTTATTTTTTATAATCTTGATAGCTGCAGGTTTTTTTTTTTTATCTCTTTGCTACCTTCCAATTCACCTGTGTTACATAGTCTTGAATTTGAATTAGATTACCAACTCCTATTTGGAGGGCCTCTTATCTGTTTCTTTGAGGTGTCTTCTTGCAGACTGTTATTTTTTGTGGAATCAGATGTTACATTTTACAATTATGATGATTTATATATTGTATATTCTATGAATTGAACTTTGCATGTAATTATCATGTATCAGTTACTCTTTAATATTTAATGATGATGATCTACTCCTACACTTGCATTCACAGTTTGTAGGAAAATGGACAAGTTTATTTATTGATAGCATTTTTACTGTTTTGTTTGTGTTTGTTCCTATGAAGTTGTCTGCCGCGCAAATCTCACGGCCTGGGGTTCCGGGCCGAGGGGACGTGCGTTAACACGGGGTTTCCTGCTTTTGGGGTGCGGTGCGGTTGTGCGCGGGCGTGCCAGCACGGTTTACCGTGCGTTGATGTTTCGATGAGTTTTTGGATGGATGAATGGTGCGCCTGTTTGATCTGTCTTCCTAGTCAAACGATTGTAGCCGAGAGAGGAACTGGTCTCGGCTGTCAGGTTCACGGCCTGAACTACAAGGCCGTCGAGTGATGGTGTTGGTGGTGGATTTTGGGCGGTGCTCCGGCGCGCTGCTCAGGGAGCGACGGTCGTGTGATATATGGGGTGAGTGAACGAACAACAAGGATGGTGCTCCGGCGCCTTGAAAATCAAGGGTCGTATGATATATTGATGAATGGATTCTGCTTACA